AAAAAAAAAAAAAAGGTCAATCCATCAGGAAGACATAACAATTATAAATACATATGCACCTAACAGAACCTCAGAACCATGAAACTGGAAGAACAGAAAGGAGAAATAGACGACTTAACAATAATAGGGGAAGATATCAATCTCCCACTTGCAATAATAGAATTAGGCAGGAGGAAGACAAGGAAACAGAAAACTTGAATAATATCTTAAAACAATCAGACCTAGTAGACATCTATAGAACACTACACCCAACAATAGCCAAATACACACTTTCAAGTGTGCATGGGACATTCTCTAAGAAATACCATTTTTTAGACCATAAAGACCATACAGGTCATAAATTAAGTGTCAGTATACTTAAAAGGATTGAAATCACACAAGGTATGTTCTCCAACCTCAATGGTATGAAATTAAAAACCAGTAACAAAAGGAAACTTGGGAAATTCAGAAATGTGGAATTAAACAATACACTCCAAACCAATGGGTCAAAGAAGAAATCACAAGGGAAATTAGAAAATGTTTTGAGATGAATGAAAACACAGCATACCAAAACTTATGGGATACACCTAACATAGTACTCGGAGATATAGTTACAACTGCCAATGTCTACAGTAAAATAGAATATCTCAAATAAATAATCCTCCCATCCACCTTAAGAAACTAGATAAAGAGAAAATTAAACCCAAAGCAAGCAGGAGGAAGAAAATAATGAAGGCTACAGTAGAAATAAATGAACTAGAGAATAGAAAAACAATAGAGAAAATCAACAAAACCAAAAGTCAGTCCTCTGAAAAGATCAACAAAAGTTGATCTTGAGGTCAGGAGATCAGGAGATCGAGACCATCCTGGCTAACCCCAGCTCTACCAAAAACACAAAAAATTAGCCAGGCGTGGTGGTAGGTGCCTGTAGTCCCAGCTACTCAGGAGGCTGAGGCAGGAGAATGGCATGAACCCAGGAGGTGGAGCTTGCAGTGAGCTGAGATGGCGCCACTGCACTCCTGCCGGGGTGACAGAAGGAGACTTTGTCTAAAAAAAAAAAAAAAAAGAGAGAGTAAACTCATACTATTAAAGTCAAGAATGAAAGAGGGGTTACCCCTACCGACCTTATGAAAGTAAAAAAGATTATATGATAATACTGTGAACAATTGTATGGCAAAAAATTAGATAACCTAGATGAAATGGACAAATTAATAGAAAGGTACAAACTACCAAAGTTGACTCAAGAAGAAACAGAAAGTATAAATATACCTATAACAAGTAAAGAAGTTTAATTAGTAATAAAAAAAATTTTCCACAAAGAAAAGCCTAGAACCAGATGGCTTCACTAGGGGTTTCTGCCAAATGTTTAAAAATTGTTGACACGAATCCTTCACAAACTTCCAAAAAAAAAAAGAGGAGGAGGGAACACATCCTAGCTGATTTTATGAAGCCAATATTATTTTGATACAAAACCAAAAACATCATAAGAAAACTGCAGACCAATTTCAGTTATTAATATAGATGTGGAAATCTTCAAGCAAATACTAGCAACAGAATCCAGCAATTTACAAAAGGAATTACACAGCATGACCAAATGGGTCCCAGGATCATCCCAAGGTTGCAAGTTTAGTTTAACATGTGAAAACCAATCAAAGTAACATACCATATTAACAGGCAAAAGTCACATGTTCATCTTAATAGACACAGACAAACCATTTGACAAAATCCAACACCCTTCTATAATAAAAATGCTAAACAAAATAGGACTAAAAGGGACCTTCCTCAACCCAGTAAAGGCCATCTGTGAAAAATCCACAGTTAACATCATACTTAGCAGTGACAGACTGAATGCCTTCCCTCTAAGATCAGGAACAAATCAAGAAACTCTCGTCTCACCAGTTCTTTCAACCTTGTACTTGATGATCTAGCAAAAACAGTTAGACATGAAGAAGAAATAAATGGTATCCAGGTTTGAAAGGAACATATAACACTATCTCTACTTGCATGTTACATGGTCTTATATGTAGAAGATCCTAAGGAATATACACACACAAAGGAAAAAGTACTATTAGAACAGATAAAAGAGTTCAGTAAGGTTGCAGGATACAGGATCAATATACAAAGATCAATTGTGTTCGTATTCATTTAGCAATGAACAATCTGAAAATAGAACAAAGGAAACAGTTCCATGTACCATAGCACCAAAAGAGTAAAATACTTAGGAGTATATTTAACAAAATAAATGCAAGATTTGTATAGTGAAAATGACAACACATCATTCAAAGAACTAAAGAAGATCTAAATAGTAAAAAGACACTCCATGATCATGAATCAGAAGACTTCATATTGTTAACATGGAAATATTCTCCCAGTTGATGTACAGACTCAATGCAATTCCTATCAAAACCCCAGCTGCTGTTTTCTTTTTTTGTGGAACTTGACAAGCTAATTCTAAAATTCACATGGAAATGTAAAGGACCCAGAATAGCTAAGACAAACTTGAAAAAGAATAACAAAATTGAAAGACTCATACTTCTTACATACAAAGCTACAGTCATCAAGACAGTAGAGTACTGGCATAAGGATAGACATATAGATCAATCAAATAAAATTGAGAGTTCAGAAATAAACCCTTACATTTATGGGCAACTGATTTTTTACAATGGTGCCAAGACAATTCTACGAGGGAAAGGAAGTCTTTTTAACAAATGGTGAAGGGACAAATGGATAACCATGTGCAAAAGAATGAATGTGGATCCCTGCCTCATGCCATATACAAAAATTTACTCAACACAGATCAAAGACCTAAATGTAATAGATAAAACCATAGAACTCTCAGAAGAAAACTTCATGAAGTAAATCTTCATAGCTTTGAAATTGACAATGGATTCTTAGGTATAACACCAAAATTACTAGCAACAAGAACAAAAAATAAACTGGATTTCATCAAAATGAAAAACTCTTTTGCTTCAATGTACATCATCATGAAAGTGTGACAATCTATAATGCATAAAGTTAAAGAAAATATTTGACAATTACATATCTGATAAAGGACTTGCATCCAGGTTATATAAAGAACTCTCACTACTCAACTAGTTTCCCTGGTCCATGTGGTCTATGAATGGGACTGGGGCTCTTGGAGGTATTTGAAGCAGTGGTTCCTAAACTCTACTGCACCCAAAAATAGGGCTGACAGATTTAGGAAGTGAAAAACACAAGACATTCAGTCAAATTTAAGCCTTAGATAAATAATGAATAATTTTTTAGTATAACCAAGCCCCATGTGATGTCTGGGACAAATTTAACTGGCTATCCAGTATTTTATGTGGCAATCCTACCCAAGAATCACCTTGAGGCTTCTTAAATGCAGATCCTGGATCTAGCCTCAGAGAGCATAACTCCGCAGGTCTGAGATGGGACTGGGGAGCTGCCCCCTTAACCATCCCTGGGGACTCTGATGTGAGTGTCCAGGTCATACTTTGAGAAACACTGATGAGATTCTCTAAGGGAGTCATAAGAACTTCAACAGCTGCTAGCCATACTCCTCAGCTGGGGTTATGCAAATAGAAAACAAAGCTACTGATATTCTAAACCAACATATAACACGGAAAGGCACATTTTATAAAAATCTATGCTTAGAAATAGTTTAAGGTGTCAAATAAAAGGGCAAAGCCAAACAAGATAAAACACAAAGAAGGGATCTAACTAGGTTCCCTGTGTTCCTTTCCTGCCATATTTCCAGGAAAAGTAGCCACTATGATCGGTCCAGGCAGATTGTAGCAGGCATCTCATGCAACAGGAAATGTAGACCTTTATGCATTTTTCCATCCATTTTCTTCCAGTTGCCCAAGTTTTAGCACTTTATGCTCTAATTCAGCTCTGAACACAATTCTGAACACATTCCTTCTGTTACACTACAGAAAGCTGAAAACCACCACAACTGTTGCAAGAACCCCGAGAGATGGGACAATCACATCCAATGTGAGCCTTCAGTGTAATGAAGACCAAAGACCACTGGCTGGTGAGGGAACTTCAGGCCTGCTCTACAGGATGAAATTAACTTAAATGCTACTGTAGGTGGCCGTTTTAAAAACATGACTATCCTCTAATGACCAAAGAGACTTATAGCCCCACCCGGGACTAACTCTCTGTCAGAGAAGGCACATCCCCACTCCAATCACATCTGCAATGGGAGAAGAAACCCAACTCACTTTCCATCCACAGCCTCGACAATCTTGACCTCAATCTCCTGCTCATACAGTGTGCGCAGCATCCGGTCTCGCCTGTCCTTTCTGCGTTTGAGGTTTATCATGAAAATCTAATACAAGAAGAAAAAGGGAAAAGACACATAAATTACTCAAGTCTTCTTTTAGGCTATTTGAAAAGTTTAGTAAATGTTTTAGATAGAAGAAGGAGTGGAAAGGATAGGAAGAACTGTGGTGAAAATTCATTTCTATCTCATATCAGTGTTTAAGGTAAATGATATTAATTCAAATTGAATTATTTTCAAAACTCAACTCTTTGTAGTGACTTAACTCTCTTTGTTTCTCTGATGTTCATTGATAAATATGTTCTCCCTTCTCTTGAAATAGGAAACTTTAAAAAACTCTTTAAGAAGTCAAAGGACAACATGATCCTATGTTTAGAAAAACCTAAAGACTCCACCAAAAAACCATTAGGATTGATAAACAACTTCAGTAAAGTTGCAAGATACAAAGTCAACACAGAAAAATCATTAGCATTTATATATGCTAACAACAAAAAATCTGAAAAAGAAATAGAAAGAGCAATCCCATTTACAATAGCTACAAAAAATTTAATAATACTTAGGAATAAATTTAACCAAAGAAGGTAAAGATCTTTATAATGAAAACTATAAAACACTGATGAAAGAAATGGAAGGACACTAAAAATAGACAGATATCCCATGTTCATGGATTGGAATAATTAACATTGCTAAAATGTCCATACTATCAAAAGTGATAAACAGATTCAACGCAATCCCTACCAAAATATAAATGACACTTTTCATAGAAACAGAAAAAAAATCTTACAATTTTCATGGAACCACAAAAGACCCTGAATAGCCAAAGCTGTCATGAGCAAAAAGAACAAAGCTCAAGGGAGCACACTACCTGCCTTCAAAATATGCTACAAAGTTATAGTAACCAAAACAGCATGGTACTGGCATAAGAACAGACAACACATAGACCAATGGAACTGAATAGAGAACCAGAAATAAGTGCACACATTTACAGTCAACTCATTTTCGACAAGGACAACAAGAGTTACAGATAATGAGGATGTCCTCACTATTCCCAGATTTAATGAACCATAGAAGTATCTAAAACTTTGTGAATGCCATTACAGGTAAATCAATGTTTTAATAAAGTCCTTTTGCTATAAGCAGTAAGAAACTCATTTTAAATGTTAAACCAGTGACTTTAACTGTCAGTGAGAAATGATGATGACACATAGCATGGTAAAGCATAAACCTATAGAAACAAGTCAGGTGGTGTTGACTTCATCCTGACTAACCATTTGGATGACTTTGAAGAAGACATTAATGTTTCTGGGTCCAGTTCTATAAAAATAGGGGGGGTGAACAAACTCATCTTTCAAATTCAGTACAGATTAAAATGTCTAAGATAGGTGGTTTATAATAAAGTTGGCTTTCTGCTATAGCCAGAATAAAGGAGAAACATTGCCTTAGAACCAGTCTGGAGTTCAGATTGTACTGTGTCAAGGTTTGGTTCACATGGTCATTCTGAATGCAGTCACAAATATATGTTTTACTGGAATTAAAAGCTACACTAACTAAAATTTCAACTCTTCCTTGCAAAATATTCTCATTTCTATCCGTTTATAGATCCCTGGGCATAGAAACTGATGTAGGAGCAAGACGTTCCCTTTGAAGAAACTGTCCCCCTGATTTGGGGCCAAGTAGATTAAGTGCATCCTAATTTTACTACCTTCCTTGTTTACCTAACTGGGCAATTATTTTGTAAAAAACATAATTTTCTGTGGTGACTGTATTTGTCTTATTACTTAGGACTTTGTAACTTAATGGGTTGTGTTCTTTTAGTCAGAATCATACTGTGATGGGTCATGCCTCATTCCCTAATTTTCCAGATATAGAAAGGAAAGGGCATTTTCTCAGGTATAAACATGAAGCCACCTGAGGTCACTCTAGGAGAACAAAAACAAAACAGAACAAAAAATCAACAGAAATAAATCCAAAAAGGTCTCCCAAACCAGAGACCTCCAGTCTGGGAAGACTTTTAGTAAATAACAATCCAGTTCCAGTCCCTGCCAGGACAAGTGCAATAAAACTGTAGCCACGAAGTAAAAACACAGACGGCTCGCTCATACTTAGTGAACAGTAAACAGAGAAAAGAGTCTCACAGCCAAATGCAGCCCAGACACCACCAATGAGGTCACAGAGTCCGAGGAGGATTGAAAAGTCCCTGAAAAGCCCTTTTTCTACCATGCTATCTCTGTTCCATACAGATGTGACTAACCCCAGACTCAGGAAAGTAGAGTCTCCAAGCCTGTGCTACTTCACGGACTTGGCCTTCTCCTGAAGGGCTCTAGGAGTGACCCAGTCTTTACACCGTGTCCTGCCCAAAGAAGACCAGAACTGGAAGGTCCTGGTTTTGTCTTATTTTATTTGCTTTGGTTTTGTCCTCATAGGAATGTTTTTAGGAGGAAAAATGAATCTATGTAAGGACATGGGTCCTTTCACCTAGGGAACCAAGAGAGAGGTGTGGGGAAGGAAAGCTACAGTAATATGTGGAAGCTGGTCCACTGTGGGTGTGGGACAACCTTCTCTGTAGCTCTGATCATTTTTGAAAACTATTTGCAAATGAGTCTTATTCCTCTCTACTACATGTGGCTCGTCTCTTCTCATTCTGCCCTCTGTGGAAACAGCATAGTAGCTGTTAACTCTTCCCCATTTAATATTCATGAAATACCCTTTCCCCATTCCTGAAGTATAGCTCCAAATCAGTTTTATGGAAGAAATCTCAACTCCCAGTTCTAGCGTCAAATCCCTTTGAGAAGACTGTACACTGGGGACTTGTATGTATATGTTACCATGTGATAAACAAGGCATTTTCCTTCGATTAAGCAGTGGAAATGAGCACCAAGCTCAAAGCCTGATCTGTTACATATCCAGAGTCCATGGAAGAGTTCTCAGTTTGTGGATTCCTGATGCACTGCCCTAGCTTCTAGACCACAAAGCTCCTTCTGAATACTGTTCAGCAGCTACCGGAGAGACCCATGAGAGAGATGGTGACGTGGAGTCACAATCCCTGCCAAGTATCTGTTATGCATATCACCAGGAGGGGTACCTCTTAATATTTCTGCTTCATTCTTTATACAACTAAAACTTAATAACAAATACTACCCTTAGAATATTATTAGGAAGTTCTTGCCTGCTGAAAGGCAGAATTTTAGAACAAATATGTTTTTTTTTCTTTCTTTGTCCTCTCAACCCTGCTCTCCAACCTTTTTCCATGGAAGAATAGTAGAAAGAAAAGAAAGCACAGAAAGTCTCAGAATAGTTTCCACTCCTTCAGATGTGGCAGAATAAAGCTAAAGTCCTCCATATCTAAAACATGTATCCTCTCTAACTTACTCTTGAACTTTGATAAAAAGGTTGATTAAAAAATCACAATATTTGCTCCTAGAAAATATCAAATTCACTTTCATTACTAAATGGTAACTTCCTTCTGAGTAAATGATTAACTACCTTTTATCATGATCCTCCCTTTTTTAAGATAAGGAAACTAAGGAACAACAAAAACCAAGTAGTTTTCCCAAGACCTCAGAGCCATTTCAGTAGCCAAGCCAATCTTGCTGGCTCTCAGATGCAAGCTCAGGTTTGTGTTACAAAATGAACACATAAGCCTGCACACGCGTGCACGTGCACACACATATAGACACCTTTCCTACCTCATCAAATCCCATCTTGTCTGGATATTTAGGGACAAGTGAGACATACTTGGAGGGTTCCATTGGAGGACGGTCAACTGGAAGACACAAGAAACATGCAGAGTGCTTTGTTAATGAAAGGGTCAGAAATCAGAATTCCATCCGCATGCCTGATCTCTAGGGCTGGAATACAACTTGGAAATACAGGGCAGGGGACAATGGTAGCAGTTCTCCAGGACTAAGTAGCCACACAGGAACCCTGCTGGTCAGGGCACTGGTTTCAAGAGCATTTGTTTATATGGAAATTGCAACATTTGCTCCACTTCCCTTAAGACTTATTTCAAGAATATTTGGGAGGCAGTTTAGGATAATGGTGGAGAGGAAGAGCTCCAGAGTTGGATGATCTGGGTCCAAATCTTGGTTTGTGAAGGAGTAGGAGAGGTAGGGGACCTCTTTAAGCTCATTTCTTTGGTATGAAATTGGGATAATAGAAGTGTATCTGTGTTATAAAATTTAAATGAGACCTGCTGCAAAACACTCATCACTTTAACATGGTAAATGCCCAATAACTCTTAGCTATTGAAAAAGCTCAGAAATAGGCTAGAATTTTTACTGAAAAATACTTTTTTCTCTACATTTAAAATTGTCAAAGTGTGGGACTATTTTTATCCCACCTGGGCAGGTTTAGCTGTGGGTGCGCAAAAGGTCCTTTGCTTTAACAGGATCTAACCACGGAGAGCTAGCCCTCATCTAATGGGAAGATTCCAGCTGGGAGCGACACTACTTCTCCAATAATGACAGTTTTATTTATTTGATACTCTAAAAAAGCTTCCTTTGCAAACTGGGTATTTTAAAGTTTAGAAGTAATATTGGTTAAGAAACCTGAAAAGGCCTTGAAGAATGTTTAGTATTATACAAATTCAAAGTCCTCATTTGATTTTCCTTGAAGGGATAATACAAAGAAAATTTAAAATGAGAGCTGATAACTGGGTTGTTGAAAGAACTATGGGTGATAGCCATGACTACTGTAACGTATCTGTTCCCCTCCATTCCAGGCACAGGAGAGGAATACACTCTCTTGCCCTTGAAATTACCCAGGGCTATATGACTTTCTGGGGAAAGTTTACAGTGTAATGCTGCTGCTCCACTCTCCAAGAGCTCCCCTGACCCTGCCCCTGGTCCCACCACAGTGCTCGTAGCAGCATGTGTGGATATGGAGCAGCTGCGAATTGGAAGCAGCCTGGAACGTGGAGCATCAACACATGGAGGGCAGCTCCCAGGAAAGACACCAGCTCTGCAGACTTGGATAGCAAGAAATAAGCCATTGTTGTATGATGCCAATCAGATTTTTATATTCCAGCATAACTTTGCCCATCCTGAGATACTGTCCAAAGGGTATCATCTGTTTAACTTCACTGAAATATTATAGAGAAATCCTGACATCCAATTTTACTTATTGGCGAATGATGTGAAATTCCAGAACACAGTGAGACAGAGTTCTTAGGCCAAACACAAGAGCTGGTCTTATTACTTCAAACTTGACACAATCATGTTTCTGTGCATATGCAGCGCATGTGTTTGTCTTCCTAACAGCAGCCCAGAATATTCTGGTCCTTTCTGCTCCATTCCACTCCTTATCAACAGGGAGGGTCCACCATGTACAGGGTTAGGTTTTTAAGAGAAAGAAGCTTAATGTACCAGCTTCCTCCTGTTCATGACATTGTCTGAGGAGCTGTCTCGCTCTCTCTCCTGGGGCCTGAGACTTGGGAGGACGTTACATTTTGAGTTACCCATTCTAGGCTGCTGGTCTCCTTTGGACTCACATGGCCTGTGTGGCTTTAACATTTCAGCCAAAGAGACTACTTTTAGCAACTTTGTTTCCATCAAACACAGGCAGTCATTGCATTCACAGGACAAGTGTTGCAAAAAAAGCCACAAGTGGTTGGCTCCCAAAAGTCATCACTGAGCAAAAATATCAGAGAAGTGTGCTTGGGTTTTGCCACTGAAGGCAGCAGTGAGCCATAGAGGAAAACAGGAAGTGATACAGTGAGTCACCTAAGAAACTTAGTCTGTGGGGAGAAGGATGTATCTTTGCTGACAACAGACTTGAAGGTTAGGTATATCCTGGCTTCTGTTTGTAGTCATTTCGGACTCCATCATTCATAATTCATCTGATCTCTCATTAAATCCCTTCCTGGAAATAATCCTTCCCTGCACTGCCACTTGGGACAACAGGCTTCATTGCTTTCGGGAAAGTTTCAAGATCTAGTGTGAATAATTACAGCCATTGTTACAGGGATCTTATCACTCACAGAACTCTGGGTTCTGTGAGTGATATATATGTCACATATATACTTGACATATCTAATCACAAATATTTAATATTCACATGTACTATGGGATATGTATGAGTGCCTCAATTTTTAGAGACAAGGTAACAAACATTAAATAACTTGCCCAAGATCACAGAGCTGATAGAGCTGGTATTTGAACCCAGGTCTGACTCCTGCACTGGAGCTCTTAATTCCCATTCCACATCATCCCCAGAGCTAGTCCTTGGTGGCCACTGGTATTAGCCAACAAGGCAACTGGGCTTGGTCTAGAGTAGCTCATTTAAGCCCAGTCATGTCTGGAAAAGTACCTGATAGATTGTACTTGGATCAAATTCTATCGCTTCTTCTCTATAATTTCTCCTAAACTTCTTCCATTGTTGTAGCCTAGCTTGGGTGCTTACTCACTGTGTCTGGGCTGTTTTTGATTTTTTTCAAACACTAACATGCTCTCAGTCTTTCCTATTCTAATTAATCATGTTCACTGTTGTCAGAATAATCTTCTGCTGCACAGCTCTGCTCTCAACCATAACAGTCACACTCAACGCTACATTTAAGGGTTTAACAGGTTGCTAGGTGTTTTCATAGTCACCATGTAATTTTATCTTCAATTTTTTGTGGTGTTTTTTTTTTTTTTTTTTTTTTTTACAAATAAAGAAACTGAGACCAAGCCAGATGTAGACTTGTCCAAGGTCAAATACTGAGTTACTGGCAGAGCTGGAACTCAGTTTTAGACCTGACTTCAAATCCAATTATCTTAGTAATTTTTACATGAGGTACTGTTGTTTCAAAATGTCAATACTGAGAGCAGGTACCTGAGCCTTCCTATCACCTTATGCTGTAATTTGCAAGAGTAATCTCCTCATGCTTTATAAACCATTAAATCTAACATCTTTACAAGATCTGGCCTCCTGTCATTCATCTTCCAAAGGCAGCACACCCCCAAATTCTCTGTGCAACTTCTAATGTACTAAATGAGTTATCACATGAAAAGAGATGGGTACAGTGCTTTTAATAAGTGTCAGTCATTGTCATCATAACCCTTCCCTCACCTCACTCAAATTCTTCAACTCTGATTTCTAAAACTCCAGTCTGCAATTCAGAAACTTCCTGACCATACCCTTCACAAGATTTTCAATTCTCATCCACTGATGCCTGATAAAACCCTAATCCTGGTTAAACTCATTGCCCACTTACTCAGCACCAAGAGGACTACTGTTAGAAACACACACTATTGTGCTGACTGAGTCACTTCAGAGCTACAATCACAGATGTCAAATTGGCACTTGACACCACCAAATGATGTAACTCTCCTTTCATAGTAAATTTATTTTCCCACTCTTTGAGAGATTGTATCTTATGCCTTCTCTCTCCTGAAATCTCCAAAATCTCTGTCTAGCTCATGACTGGCCTATGTACTTCAGAAAGAAAATATTCAAAATCAAATTAGATCTACCTTTTCAATCCACCTCAAGTCCACAAACCAAACTGCATGTGTATCGATACATTCTGCCATCCTATCTGCCACAGTAGATGAAATGTCTATCTAGTATAGCCTCTCCAATATTGTCCTGGGCTGCAACCAAGGATAAAAACCCTCTTGTTTTCACCTTACAATTACCTTCTCTTCTACATCATCAAGCTCTCCTTATATATTGGATCCTTGTGATTAGCATACAAACATACTGTTATATTTCTATTTTTTTTAAAAAAACAGTGCAAACAGACAAAACCAACCCAACCAGAAAAATATTTCCCTTGACGTCCCACCTCCAACAGCCTCCATCTGATTTCTCCATTCCCCATCCCATCAAGATTCAGCTTTCTCATCGCCCCATTGGCTTCTCTTCAGTCCACTTGAATGGATCTGTGTCCTCATCATTGCACTGAAGTGGCCCTTATCAAGGTCATCACAGACCTCTGTCTTGACAGAACCAATGACCAATTTTTTATCCTCATTTTCCTTGGCTTCTCAGCAGCATCTTGGCTCCATCTTGAAACACTTCTCAATTTTTCCTCCCAGCTCTCTGGCTGTTTGTCTTCCCCAGGGATCTGTCCTCTTCTCGTCCTGTGTTATTTTACTGCATGAGTTCACACTGTTCCACGGCTTCAAATATCCTTCCGATGCTGATGATTCTCAAATGTCTGTCTCTAGCTGGAGTTTCTTCCCTGAACTCCAGACTCATATATCCAACTATCTTCTGGCTTTTCTATTTAGATGCCTAATAAATATCTTAAGCTTATGAGACCAAAACTACCTCCCCACCCCTGAGTCTTTTTCTGTAAAGTCTTTCCTATCTCAGTAAATGGCATATCAGGCTAAAATCCTGGACTCATTCTTGATTCCTTTCTTTCCGTCATGGACTACATTCAGGTCTCTGTATGTCCTATTGGCTCCACCACCAAAATATATCCTCAATTTGTCTGTTTCTCATCACCTCCTTGCTATCGTTCACATCCCAATCATCATCATGTCTCACCAGGAGAGAGGTACTGGTCCCCTACACTCTGGTATCCTCACCACAGCCCAAATGATTCTTCTAAATGCACAAGTCACATCAGGCCAACCCCCCATCTTCCAGGGATTCCCATTACTCTTGGAGTAAAATCTAAATTCCTTACCATGGCCAGAATGTTCGGTGGGATCTGGACATTTCTTCTCCCATTACTCCATCTCCCTTGACCCAACTCATTCTTTATACCCCAATCACGCTGGACTTTTGTCCCTGGAACACCCCCAAGCTTTTCCCGTCTAACAGTCTTCACATGTGCTATTCTTTCTACTTGGGACATTCTTCACCCAAATATTCATGTGGCTGCTTCCCGGATATTTTGTCTGTTGTCTAACTCTCTGTGTTAGAATATAAGCTCCCTGATGGCAGGGTTTCTGTCTGTTTTGTTCACTGCTGTATGCCAGCATCTTGAACAATCTGCGGGGTACGGTATGTGTTGAATAAATCCTTACAGCCTGATTATCTCTTCTAACACCTTCACTGGTTCCTTAAGATGGCCATTCTTCTTGATCTGAGCATCCAAGGACCACAACAATGAAGCCACCCCACCCTCTCAAACTTTATTTCTGCCTACTGTTTTAAGTCAGCTCTCCTTCAGAGTGAGAATACTTTGTCTTTTCTTGGTCTGTTTCCTCTGCCTGTAGAGTCCTCACCATACCACTCCTCTTGTTTAAATTTTACACTTCTACCCAAGCTTAGCTTAAGAACCATTAGGACTTGAGGCTCTCCTGGATCACACAGGCCATAGCAATCTCTCTCTATCCCAAATTCCTATTTCTTTGATATTTTCTCCTTTCTCAAAATGCTATACTGCATTGTGAGTGTTTTTTTTTTTTTTAAACGTCTGTCTGTTTCTCCTATTAAATCATAAGTACCTGAAAACAGAGAATTGATCATAAAATGTTTTGAATCCCTAGTACTTTCATAGAAGACACATACATTACAGGCATTCTATGTTTGCTCATGAATAAAATGCATGTATTAATGCAAGCTTGTGTAACCGTGGCCTGCCGGCCACATGTGGCCCAGGATTGCTCTGAATGTGACCCAATACAAATTTGCAAACTTTCTTAAAACACTATGTGATTCTTTTTGTGATTTTTTTTTTTTTTTTTTTTTTTTTAGCTCATCAGCTATTGTTGTGTTAGTATATTTTATGTGTGGCCCAATACAATCTTTCTTCTTCCAATGTGGTTCAGGGAAGTCAAAATATTGGACACCCCATTCCTATTCTTCAATCAGTGCAGTCTAACAACACTATTAGCAGCCATTTATTTGCTGCTCATTGGGTTCCAGGCACTATGCAAAGTAGTTTTAACAACTAGTTAATCTTTTACTAGAGAAGGATACTTGACTGACAGGATTTTGTCATTGCCAACTTTTTATTAATCTTATATGGACCTCTAGGCCATATTTCTGCATTATACCCTTCAAAATACGATTTTTCCAACATTTTCTTATTCCGATTATGCTCTATATTTTTAAAGTTCAGAAAAGGAGGTAAGTATAAGAATAAAATAAAATGTGATATGTAAAGTGCTTAGCACTAGAGGTGGCATGCGTTGGAAGATCAATGATGAAAGTTATAATTTACAGGTTCTTCTCAAATGAACTCTACCTGGCTAGCATGGTAGTGTGCATATTTGTAATTTGCAATCATTAAAATCTTTATTGATGACATGTGTATTTCTATGTACTGAGAACTTACGCTGTCAGCCCTGTGGAAGAAAACAAGAGAACATAAGGTCTGGCTGGCCTCTCTCTGAGCTCAGAGAGACTCTCCCTACTTGGGAGTCAAGACCAAGAGCCATGAAACAGGGATAATAAGGGACAGCACTTTATCGAGAGCTAAAAGGAGTCATAATAATAGCAGCACCTCACGATTTTATAGAGTTGATATATTCTTTTGTTTGCTCCTCTCAACATTGCAAAATCACTCTATAGATGAAGAAACGAAAGTCCTGAAATCTGATTCTCTCTTCATAAGTGACAATGTCTAAGTTCAAGCCCATTATTCTGGCTTTGGTTTCAGTGCTCTTGTCAATACAGTTTTCATTCATTCATTTGTTTATTTGTTCATGCATTCAGCAGATATTTTCTTCGTAACAACTACATGCCATGCACTGTGCTAAGTGCTTGGGATTCAAAGCAATAAGATGCCATCCATATCCTTTAGGGCCTAGAACATAGGGAAAGCGGCAGAAAAAGTACGTATTAAAGAAATTCACAAAGGAGATTACTGAGGGCTGGTTCAAGAAATACTGTCACAGTGAACCAGCTTCTTATTCCATCATTTTATCATCAGTCATTCAGTCATTTAACAAATATTTACTAGGCATCTACCAGGTGACAGACAATGTGCTAGGTCCTGAGACTAACATGATGAAAAAGGAATTTATAGTGTAGTAGCAAGAGAGTGGGAAACAGATACTCATAGATAACTCAATGAATCTAAAAATAAACTCATGGTTTCTCTTTTCTTTTCTTTCTTTTTTTTTGAGATGGAATCTCACTCTGTCACTCAGGCTGGAGTGCAATGGCGCAATCTTGGCTCACTGCAACCTCCGCCTCCTGGATTCAAGCAATTCTCCTGCCTCAACCTCCTGAGTAACTGGAACTACAGACATGCACCACCATGCCCGGCTTATTTTTGTATTTTTAGTAGAGACAGGTTTCACCATGTTGGCCAGGCTGATTTCGAACTCCTGACCTCAGGTGATCCACCTGCCTCGGCCTCCCAAAGTGCTGGGATTACAGGCATGAGCCACCACGCCGGCCATGGTCTCTTTTCAAACCTCTCCTTTATTCTACATGCCATATTCCATTTAAAGTTCCTAAAATCATCCCCAGACACTGAAGACAGAACTTAAGAGTTTTCTCTATGCCTCCCTTTTGCTCATCCACCTACAATTAACTCTTGGCTGTGTCCTTTCAAGACTATGTCCTAAGCTTCTGTTCCTTCCTCTCCATTCCCACTGCTACTGCTCTAGGTCAGGTCTTCACCACCTTTTGCCCAGTAGCCGTGAAATGTCCAAAGTGGTCTCTTCACCTCTGGTCTGAGACCAGCAGCCACTGCCCATGCATCCCATGCATGCTCCACCTACACTTTTCTAACCACTACAGTGACCTTTCTAAATCCAAATTCAACCTGACATTTCTGTGCTAAAATCTTTTTGAGAGCGCCCATCCTTTCAGCTAAAGCCCAAATACCTTCTTATACATCAGAGCCTCTTGGCGGGGCTCCTGCCCACTTTCTAGCCTCAGTTCCTGCTGTTCCTCCCTAACAACCTCCACTGCCCACATATATACCTCCTATGCTCTACTGATGAATAATAGAAAATAGTCCCCACTTTGGGAAGCCATTTCAACATCTTCCCCTAGGTTAGGTGGATTGGTTACTTTCTCTTTTAGCTACCATTGTACATCACATATAATAAAAAGCATAGCTACTGATGACTGAGCACAGCAATTCATGCATCATGCCAGACCCAGAGGCAATAACAATAGTGTTTAAGGACATGAACTTTGGAGATAGCAAGATGGGTTCAAATCCCAATCTGTCATTTGTTTAGCAGAATGCTCTAGGGCAAGTTACTTAAGGCAACATCTCATTATTTTTAATCTTTAATATGGGCATAATAAAACCCCTTCATTGAGTTGTTGCAAGGATTAATGAAACAATGTACAAAAAGTGCTTAGCACTTTATGATGTAACAGTGGTATCTGTTACATCACGAGCTATTGTTAAGTTGAAATCATAATTACTGTGGCTGTATTAGACATTTTACATATATCATGATGAATCTGCCCAAAAACCCTGAAAGTTTTCATTATTTCCATTTTACAACTAAGGATATTATTTACTCAAAGTTATATAATTAGAAAGCAGCCAAGTTAGGGTTTAAGTCCACACCACAAAACACTGTTATAGCACTTATCAGACCTTTTGGAAAGTATTGACTTGTGTACCCAGCTCTCTTCCAGGATGGGAAGCTCCCAGAAGGCAAAGACCTTGTCATATTCATGTTTCCCATAGGAAAAGTTTAGGAAACAATGAACAAATGAATAACTATGTATTCAGCCAGAGGAGACTGACGGCTGTGAGATTCCAATCCTGGAAGAGAAGGGAAGTGGCTGGTATGGTCACTGTGGCAATGGAACGACAGCCATCCCCCCCGCTCCTGGGTCACTCACTCATTGCTTCAATCTGCACATGGATGAGGTTCTCGATGTCTTCCTGCAGTGTCTGATGGGACTTCAGGGGGATGGGCAGGTAGCCATAGTGCTCTCTGTTGCAGAGGTACATCTGGATGCCTGAGGATCCGAGAGAGGGACAAAGCCAACAATCAGAAAACACACTGCTGAGTGACAAGTGAGGAGAAGGAACCTGAACTGTGTCTGATGCTGAGTTTGACATTGCAATTACATAAGTGGTTGTTTCAGGTATGTCTATAGACCTTAAAAATGCTCCTTTATTCAAAAAGTAAAACACAGCATTGGGGACTAATAAAAACACTGGGCTATTCTTCAACCCAGAGGAAATTGATTTTTTCTCTCTGAAGAAAAACCAAACTCGTGGCCTGGAATGAACACAAAAGGCATGAAAGGATCAAAAGGGAGGCAAGGAATTCCCATTCCGGAGAGCAGAATGGAACACTGTAATCCACCTACAGGAAATAACGAGAAAATGAGGAATGAAATCCACATCTGATATGAAAGCAAACAGGAAAATTCTGTAACCCTGATAGATTATTAAAGCTAAATCTAGGCATACATAGAACAAAAACCGAAAAAAACAAAGGAAATTTAAAATTCTCCAAGATTCTCCTTGGTTTTATTGCTTCCCTTAGCAGGCATGGATTTGGAGCCAACCAACAGATATGAAACTTCCAAAATCAGTTCCTATAGAGACAAAAGAGTCTGCATTTCAGAATGTCCTTTTAAGAACCTGTAGTGTGACAATACCAGAAACATGCAATACCCTTCTCATATTCAAATTGGTCTTCATAGCCCCACCTGATAACTTGCACAGTTATAAGGCATCTGTGTTTAACCAGACAGCTAGAAATATAGGAATCAGGATGGTCTTATACAGATCATTGGTCAGCAATTGACACTCCTGATCAATGAAAAGACTGCTTAGTGAAAAGGATGAGTCCGCCATGTATCCAAGCCTTTGGTCCATGTATCCAAGCCTCTGATTTGTTAATTGTGATAATCATCACTGTTTTCTGGAGAGAGAATTTTCTGCATAGGGACTCCTCTATTTTGTGCAGATGAAATTTCCTCCAGTCGGCTACATCATCTGTCAAATCAGGTGAAGCTGTCTCATGGAATTAACAGAGAGGAAGGAGAAAAGCAAATAACCTTTATTCCCTGCTTTTATGGAATCTGGCTTGAATCAAGGTTGGTCTACCAAGCACTGTCCCTTCTCTTGCCTTCACCGAGCAAACTTATTAGCTCTGCTATTTGCCCACATGAATGCTTCTGGGGAGCTTCAAAGTGCACCTTCTTGTAAAGTCATGATGAATTCAGGAAGTGGAAGGAAAAAGATATTAAAGTTGCATCTCCACTCTAATTAGGCAAACCATTTTACCAATTAACTTTCTGAGGCTTCCATAAAAAAATGATATGATACATATCCAAACTATCCATCAAGTATGAGGGTACAAGGAAGGCATTTTTGGACATGCAAGACCATAATATATTTACTTGCCATCATACTTTTTCAGAAAGTTACTGGATGATGTGGGAGAAGGATGAGGAGGAAAGGAAGGAAGAGGAGGAGGAGGAAGAAGAAGAGGACGATTATAACCAGCAAGAAAGATTATAAACAACACGAACAGAAGAGTCAGTGTATAAGAGAAGAGAAATAAGTCTTAGGTTGATAGCTGCAGCACCACTCGGATTAGAATATATTAGAAGGCTCCAGGACAGACATCTTCACAAACATGCAAAAAAGGACATCTGACAAATCTGAACATTCTGAGAGGAGTTTGAGGTAATTAGTGATTAGTTTTGGATCATACTAGTAATAATACAACTAAGCAAAAAAATGGCAATTATTAAAGGAATTGCCTCCAAAGAAAATTAATGGCAAAGGAAAACTAATCATAGCCTATAAATGACCAAGCTTGGAGTTAGGCTTGCATGATTACAACAAGAACACTGACCATCAATCTGTTTGAAATGACATTGGGAGAACAGGGTGTTGAGAAGAATGTGTTTGCATGCAGAGGGCAAAAGGCAGAAAGAGAGCTAACTCCTCACTGTCTACAGTGGAGAGTCAATATATAATGCCTATGGTGAAGCCAGAAAATCAAGAAGTAGTAATGTATGCATATTATTTAACATGGATGTAAATATTATACTAAAATGATCACTTAAAAGAGATAACAGTGGTTGCCTTCTGGAGGAGAGAAATGATGCAGGGTGATGTGCAAGGGACTGTTCTTTTCTTAATAAACCATGGGGAACTATAAGAATACTTTCAACCATGTGCACGGGCAGTTTGATAAAAGAAAATGTATTAATAATTAGATAAAGTCTATGAAAGAGTCTGCACTCCCAGCGAAAGCTGCTTCTGGGGAAGACAATTTTTCTTTTGAAAAAGAAAAGTGAATTACACTACATTTTGAAGGACTTTGTTTTTCTTTTAAACATATAAAACATTTTCTTGTACTCACATAGTAACTTAACATTGCAGATTGATAAAATTATCCCTATCTTTGGTGATGAAAAATCAGACTCAGGCTGTCACTTGTCCAAGGCCACATAGTAGGTCATTAGTGCCAAATCTTTGTCCCTAAAGAGCCAATGCCAAGTGCTTTCTACCCACCGGGTAATTGGAAACTCAGTTCCAAGACCATTAGTCACTAGGGGATTGCCATCCCTCCACATGGGGACTGCCATCCCTCCACATGGGGACAAATGTGACCACTACCAGTGGTGTCCAGGATCTGTCTGCCTATTGCCCATATCACTTGCCTCTTTTGACTCACATCAGACATTTGGAAGATGACTGACTGGCGCCGGGATGGTTCCTGTGGCCATAATACAGAAACCAGATCATGGGCCACAATGGGAAGTGAACTCTTGACCCTGGACTCATTACAGTCACAGAGACTCACCTGTGACCATATGTGCTCTCTTCTTGGGCTAGCTGGGTGGCCAAGTCCCGCTCACCAGCACACTTGGATTGCCCCTCACTCATCACCCACACGGCGCAATGGCTAGAGTCTGGGGTGAAAGATTTAGGACCGAGGTTTGTGGTTGGATGGTCCTGCCTGGGACATAGATGATACACAGCTAGGGAGCTTCAGAAGAGTGAGAACAAAAGAATACCAATCATATTTCATGAAGAAAGAGGGAAGGTGCTTTGTTTTAAAACTAAGGAAGAAGAGCCTAGAGACATGCCCCGGGCTGCACATGACTCCCAGGCTCATTCACGTTTCTCTGGAAAATACTTAGAGATAAGTACACTATTACCTTAAAATCCACAGTTGTCAAGAAATACCTTTCATTTCCCCAAAATGACTGAATCTTTCCTGCCTTGACTCCTGCCCTGTTCATGGTCTGAACCGCCAATCTGGCCCTTAGCTTTCACTGCTTCATGACTATTAGTTGTGTTTTCACACATAAAAATCTTAACTCCCAACTAACACAGTGCCAGGAACAGAAGGAAACACTTGGGAGTTCATCTCTCGCTTTCCTTTTCTAGTTCTCCTCTTCCCAAATGAGTCACCAAACAACTGTGGGTGTCTACCTGCTTTCAGTGTTCTAAAAAAGCCTTTGCAAAATCTGACCAACAGCACACAAAGTCCTGGTGAACAGGCGAAGCACAGGGCAGAGCTGAAAAATTCCTGCTTAACCTGAATCACTTTTTCCCACCCCAGTATCTAGGTATTGGTTTCATACAATGTATCATCATAATTTAGTGCATGGGTTCATAATAACGCTTTGTGCAGTGACTATAAAGGAGGACTCTGTTAGGCAGTGCCATTCGTGTAATTGTTAATATCTCACTTTCTTGGAACATCTTAGCTTCAGCCTCTGAAGGAAAGAGATTGGCACTCAAGGACTCAGATGGCTCTGTCTTTGTTTCCTATCCTGGGGAAGTCAGAGCAAATCACAGACCAGATGAAAAAAGCAGGTTCCATTAACATTGACAAGGAATCTTTGCAAAAAACTTCCAATCATATGAAGATTGCTTTTGCCTAAACACAAGGGCTACAAAATGCCTGCACCTGGCCAAAGGGTCTAAATTGCTCTAGCAGCCAAGGGGGAAATCAGCCTGATCCATTTCTACCAAATATTCTCATTCTCAGCAAATCTACAACTGATGAATGGGACACCTATGGCTTTAAGGAGAATCTGATGTGTGAACTGTAGCTTGAATTTGTATTAACATTCTCATCTGCCAGCCACTTTCTCAGCTGCCTGAAGATCTTTGCACCATGTTTTCCACCCTCAGTTATATGGCCACACTGAGTTTATTCACCATCTTCTTGGTTTATAACCTATTTGTGCTAGTAGTTAAGTGACACATTTCTGGCACATTAATAATGGGACCCAACTTCTGTCAGGAAAGTCTGAATTATCCTAATAAAGCTTTGCTCTGTTAGATGCCATGTGTCCTGCTGTTGAACTGCTCTTGTGAATTGTGTCCTCCTGAAGCAAGTGTAGGGTGAAATGAGAAAAATAACTTTCCTTCCTGTTGACTTGTCTTTCTCAAAAATCTACAGGCCTCACTAGAAATGCTTTCCCAGTGGTTCATAAAAGACTTCAGTCTCGCTTTGCCTCTCCTTCCACAGGGACTGAGGCCGAGACTGTTTGGTGCCTCTTTATCTGTTCTTTCCTTCTTCTGGAGTGTGAAAATTGCAGTGCATGCATGCAGAGAATAAAGATGACATTCTGAGCCTCCCTTACAGTGAGGTATTGTCCTGTAACTAAGCTCTGGCTAACGGGATTTGCATGGAAGTGCTGCATTCAACTTCTGGATTGCACCCTTCAAGGGACAGGGAGAGTTCTCCCTGCTGTTTCTGCCTTGCTGGCTGAAACGCATCCGTGGTGGTGAGACACCTGGGACTCCACAATTAAGGGCAGTACCTCGTGGAGAGTGAGAAGCCTGGGACTCTGAACACTTTGTGGAACAAAGCCACTATAGCAACTCAGACTTCTTCAAGAAGAAATAAACTTCCATTTTTAAAGTCTGGGATCTTTGCCAGTGTTGTTTTAGGCCTCTGTGATAGTTTCCTAATTAATAAATGGACTTCTGTGATAAACAATTGCAATGCAGTAGCACCATAGAGAACCAATCACCTTCCCATAACTCCCAACATCACCACCAGTCCCTCCAACCCAAAACAGAGTGGGTTCCTGGGTAGAGGCCAGCCCTGGCTCTTGGTAATTGGTGCTCCCAGGGACAGCAACATAGAGGGTGCTGGTAAGGTTACTGCAGACAATTTATTGCCTCTCACTACCCGAAATATGAGGGTATTTTTAAAAATAAGATGCACAAAACAAAGGAGCTGGTCATTTTGCTGTGTCTCCATGGTGGTACTACAACCAAAGACAAACGGTACCTGCTTGCCTGCTGGAGAAGGCAAAGACAATGATGTCATCAAAGGTCCAGGTGTAGTCCTGGTGTGGGGGGTAGAAAGTCAGCTTGTCCGAGGCCTCCTTCCTGAGGTCAATTAGGAAGGTGGAGTGGACCATGGGGACGGGGAAGCAGCCTGACCTCTTCCATTCTCTAATCTGAACGTAGTCTGGGGTCCTCTTATAGAAGCCCTGTAAAAGAGCAAATAGGTGGGTTGTGTTTTCTGACCTGAAGTCTTCATCCTTCTCAGTCATTTGCTAGACTGATTCCTTTCAAGTCGTCACCAGCTAAATACAAGCTCCCAAACAAAGCCACCTTCACTCCTCTTATCATGGCCTATGAATTTCCAGGTGAGCACAGGAAATGCTATCTACATATAAAATAATACTAAAAGGGTCTTGATATAAGAAATCACTTTGATTTCAACATATCTCTTGATTTAATAATTTCATAAAAGTGTATTTTATGTTGACTTATGATGAAATATGAAGCATCAGTATTAAGAAGTGACAGAGCAGTTAAGAGCACAGGTTCCAGTGTCAGACTCCCTGAGTTCAAATCCCACCTCAGCTACTTATTGTCTGTGGGTATGGGGCAAGTGACTCAACCTTGCTGCACTTATTTCCTCATCTCCAAAACAGGGATGATGGCACTATCTACTCCACGGGGTTAGCTGTAAAATTTAAGTAAGGTAGAACCTGAATAGTGTTGAGTGTACTGCCCAGCACCAAGAATGTATCAACAAATATTGGCTCCTATTAAAATGACATTACACTATGGTTAATATTTGTAATTAAACATGCATTACTAAGATATACAAATGAGGGTCTTCTTTCAATGCAGTTACTTAGTCAATATACTGGTGAAGCTGCAGCTGCTCCACAGTTTTTGGGGATTCAACTTCTGAAACTTCCTTCTGCACAAGCACACGGGACAACCAGTTTCCTTATTCCAAAGCTCAAGTCATTTCCAGAAAAGATGAAGATATATCTCAACAAAACATGCTTACGAAACATACTTGTGGAAGCTTTGCCAGGCATTTTGGAAAACGTTCTAGGTGATGGCAGCTCACTGGGATGAGTGTGAAGTTTTGCAAGGCCAGCACTCTGAAGGGCACGGCACTCTGGATGCAGAAGTTCTTATGTGCTCATTAATCAATTGCATCACTTTATGGTCACATTTCCTGTTGTCATTCAGCATCCACACATAAGGCGCTACAGCCTCATCTACTTCTCTGACATTCCCTTCAAGTTCTAGAAGAGTGTCCTAGCTTAGCTAACCCTAATGCTGACCCCATGATAAGGGAGGAGGATCACAAATGAGGACTTAGAAGATGTGGGTCTCAGAGTCATCTTAATCACCTTCTAGCTGTTTGATCTTAGCCCATGGCTACCCTCTTTGAGCCTGAGCTTTTTCTCCTGAAAAACGGGATAATAGCTGCTCTGTCAATCTCAAAGAGCTGCAGAATGAATCACATGTGATAAGGTCTATGAACCTATTTTGGAAACTGCAATTCATTATATGAAGTATTATTATTACTATAATTTTTTATTAGCCTTTAACTTAAGGATCATTTAACATCCTCTATGGTTTCTCCTAATACTTCAGTTTATGAGCAGTCTTCCAAGGGATAAAGGGAACTTGGGTTTTTAAAAAGGCTGCCTAAGTACTTGTGTCAAATACAAAGTTCTAGATTACTTAGGAACAATATTCCCAGAATGAGAAGCTTGGAAAATCCATGATGATGATGAATCACAGAATATCCTTGGGGTGGGGGTGAGAAGGAAGGAAGCAGGGAAAGTGAGAGAGAATAAATATGCCTCCTGCAAAGAGGCAGAGATGATGAATGTGTTTCTTTTTCCATATAAATTGAATCTTGTTGGTAATAATTCCTGTTCACTGGCCAGACAACATCAAGGTCATTTTATTTTGAATGCGTTTAAAGACTCTGGGAACCAGGCCCTTACTTGAGGTTATGAAGTCACTGGCCTTTTCTAATCCTGCTCTAGTAGAGACTAACTGGGATGGTAGAAAGCCAAAAATAAATGGAGGAAAATAATAATTGTCCCTAAGTTGCTCAGAATTTAATTTTACTGTACAAAATAAGTGAGCACATTTCTCCTATTTGCTTTTAAGCCTGAAAGCAAATAAGGAGATAATACAAATTTGTAGGCTGTGGCCACTAGGATAACCCACCCTTGTTGCTAGTGTCAAAGCACAACTCATTAAAAGCAACCCTCAAGTGACTCTGCCATGTGAAACACTGAAAGTGTATGAATTTAAACCAATATAATGTTTTCTCCCAAGGAAGTGAGGAAGTGAATGGCCTTTAGAAATATGAACATATTACCTTCCCAAAAGAGACATAGAAAATAGCACACATTCAAAATCTCTTACAACTAGAAAAAATAACTACAACAAAAGAGGAATGTTTCATCCAGTGGTATACCAGACCACATATTGTTAAATTTTCAGAAATTTTGCAAACCAGTTGACATGTTGATAGCTTGGAATCCATAAAAACAAAAATCGCGTTAATCCCCAACACTCTAATGACACCTCAGGTGGCAGTTTTGCATATTTTTAATAGCTATATCATCAAGTGGCGATACTGCAGTTTACTTAACCTTTCCCTTAGCTTAACAACATTTAAGTTGTTTGCATGGTGGGAGCATTTAAACCATAAAAATTGGCAAATGCTATCAACTACGGTTTTTCCCACAAAAAGCCAGTTATTAAACATTTATCAGCACACTACTGGCCTTATTTCTCATCCAAAATAAAACCAAATATAAAGGGGAGACTCAAACTTTAGCCCTTTGGCCATGAGAATACATTGAACATACTCTCCGTTTTTTTGAGACAGGGTCTCAGTCGCTTAGGCTGGAATGCAGTGGTGTGATCATAGCTCACTGCAACCTCAACTTCTTGGGCTCAAGCAATCCTCCCTGCTCAGCCTCCCGAATAGCTAGAACTACAGGTGTGCACAACACCACACCTGGTTAATTTTTTCATTTGTTGTAGAGACGAGGTTTCGCCATGTTGCCCATGTTGGTCTCGAATTCCTGGGCTCAAGTAATTGTGCCTCCTTAGCTTCCCAAAGTGTTGAGATTACAGGCGTGAGCCACTGCTCCTGGCCAATATACCTTATTTTGCTTAGCACATTTTTATCCTACATTGATATATATTATATTAATCAGTTGAATTTATCTCTCTAATTCTTTAATTAAAGAATAAAAAATACAACCAGCCATGAGCATTCACTAAAACAGACCTCTAGACCTTGAAGATTTTACTATGAAAAAAAGAAATAATAAAAATTCAAACCTTTTTTAACTTGAATTTCATAAAAATAACCTAATATGGTAGTTTTCATTATTAGAACTCTTTGGAAATAAATTTGGCAACATACATCAAAGGTCATTGAAATATTTATAGTCTTTGTCTCGGTAATTCCACTTCTGAAAAGCTATCCTAAGGATATAATCTTAAATGCTGAAAAATTATATTAATCATGATGGTCATGATAGTTAAAAGTTGTGAATAATTTAAATGTTTTTCAAACCAAGATAAAGGTTAAGTAAATTGGAATATAGCCACTTGATGATAATACAGTTATTAAAAACGTGCAAATTTCTATCTATGATGTTGTCACAGTGATGGGGATTTAACATGTTTTGTTGGTTTTCTTTTAAACTTTTTTTAATTTCTAAGTTTTTCTATAGTGTTCTTATGTTAGTTTTGTAATGGCAAAAAGAATTAATTAAAAATAGTAATTCCTGAATTGGGTGGGGGGAAAGTACAAATTCCAGCATGCTTTATTGGCTAATTTGAAGTTTCTAAGGCTAAGCTCTTTAGACTATTTTCTTCAATAATTAATTAATACAGAAGGGCTCAACTGGGTGGTAGCATTGGACCTAGATTTACTGCCCTTCCTGAAACATACTTGCTCTGGGAACACAATGACATGCATGTTTCAAGGGAGTAAACAGGAGAAAGGTGAATGGGACTACATTGACCCGGTATTGCCTTGTTAAAACTAGTAGCCTTAATTCATTTAAGCAAAAGACTTGCCTTAGGGGTGATTCCGCACCAGAAATTAGAATACAGGCCCCGAGACTCCAGCATGGGGGCCACAATAGTTTTGTTTTCTGCAATCAGTAGATTGAGGGTCTGTGGATTAGTCAGGAAATTGTCAACATCTATGAACTAGGAAAAGAAAAGGATAATGTTAGGTGAAAAGGTACTTTTCAGTAATGAGTTTGAGAATAACCCAACCCTTCTGAAGGATCCCAGAAACTTGCTCATGACATATGGAACTAGTTATCTATGTCCTCCTTATTGAAACCCATTGCAGCTAGGTGACTTTCATTCAGTCAAAATACATTTAGTTTAACTTTCCTACGTTGGGCTCTGCATAAGGCACTAAACAATAAATCGGTGCTGCTACACTGGGCACAGCCTCAACCAGGACCCATCCTACACTTTGGCTAGTGTTTTAGGCACAAGATATTAATGGTTCCCAAGCCATTAAAGGTTTATTCAAAAACACTTATTGACTGCCCAGTCTAGGTACAGATGGGCATACCTACTTAGTTTTTCTATAGTAATGCCAAAGTAGCTCAAAACAGATCTATCAATGTAGTTTAATGTTATAAGTAGAATTTTTGTTTAAGTACATTATATCAACCCATGCTAACCAGTGAAACTATTTCCTATTCTTAGAAGTCCATGTTAACGGTGATTTATTTACAGAGACAGTATAACAACAGATTCTAACATATAAAAGAAATAATCATACTGAACTGTACACTGAAAAAGGGATAAACTGACAGATTTTACATTTTGTAGGTTTTATCACAATAAAAAAATCAGAAGTCTTCATTTTTATGATAGTCCATCTGTTTACCCAAAATTTTGTGATTTAGCATTTGTACACTTCAATGGCATTTAAACAGCTACACAACGTTAAATATTGTCAGTACAATTTGAAAACTTCCATGAAAGGATTTGTGTCACAAGTGTGCATGACACATTATTGGGCAGATTTTCACTGTGGTGGAGGGACTGGGGATGGACATAAGTTCTCAAAGAGAGCATCACTGGGAGCAACCAGGAAGCCAAGTAACAGATGCTACTCCCCAGATCATTCAGGAGCAAAAGGGAACTGTTTCAGAGCTGTTCGGCTCAATTATTTTTTTAGATAATTACTTTTCATATCCCCAAATTCTTCCAAAAACTTATAAGAACAACTTACATTGTTTTACCTACAGCATTTCCCATGAACTAGAAATATGCAGAGTTCTTATGCCTGTTGCATGACAGAGACCAAAAAATTCAGGCGCTTCTTCGCCTACCCTCGAAAATGCATGTGGGCCTGAAGATGAAGTCCAGGTAGCCCAATATTAAACTACCAAAAATTTCCTTGTTCCTTTCTTAAAAAGTCGGGGAGGCACTGCCTAAGCCAAAAGTTGTTTTGATTGCTTCCATGGTTCTAGTTTTTGGATGACTGATTTGGATACATTCAAGATGACAGCTGTCAAGAAATCAAACATCTGTTTTTACCAGAATGTAGTCTGACCATTTTTCCCTCGCAGTTCGAAGGGCTGCCTGTCGTAGTTTCATCACATGGGCAAACCGGGAGCTTGGCCAGTGCTTTGGTCCAATTTCATCAGGGTAAGACCTAAAATAATAATGATAGCTCATCATTATTGAGTACCTACATGTACCAGGCTCTGTCCTAAATGTTTATATGTATTCATTCAATCTTCTATCAACCACAGGAAGTAGATACTATTATTACAATCATCCCTATATTACAGATGAGGAAACTGGAGCAATGAGAATCAAGTAACTCACTGCTCACTGTAAACAACAATCTTTACATGAAATATTTCAATGGGTTCTCATGAGAGCCCTTTGAGGTGAGTACTACTGTTCTCCGCATTTCATAGGTGAGGATATTGGGGTAGAGCAGTTAAGTCATTCATCCAATGTTACACAATGGGGCACAATCAAGATTTGAATCCAAGCAAAAAGCTCATGTTCCTAGACAATTTTTATACATCCCAACATCAAATAAATTTAGAGAGTATGCAGTGTAAAACATGAGTTTCCCAGGAAAAACAAAGGTTTAATTTACTTGCTGGTGTCTCCACAAATGATTCCACACAGTCTAACACATTGATCTGTCTTAGATAAAGTGAGGTCATGGAATCTCTATCAAGATTCACAAAACAGCCAGGCCAAGACTCCTCCATGGCCACACAGGCAAGTGGGTTGGAGCACACTCCAAAATCCTTCTGAAGGCACCCAACTGGCACGGACATTGATACTGTTGCAGTAACCCAAAACTGGCCACCACTTCAAGATCTCATAGCTGCACTGGCAGTACACTTGTTTTAGTGAACAAAAAACTGCAAGAACAATGAGACTGTAACTCTACAAACAAGGTTAATAAAACTATATACAGCACAGGAATTCTCTGGAATGTCTTCCCCAATTATTGTTTCAATGAAAATCAATGGAATTCTCATTTTTCTAAATATATTCCCCCCCAAAAATGCCTGCTCTAATATTTTTTCACACTGACCTTGGCATATAATAGATTTAGTCAAAACCTGGCTGCAGAGAACATTACCAAGATGCAAAGAAGGGACACAAAATATTTCTATGCCATTTTTATTAGGCCAAACTCCATTATAAGGCACTCTAAACGAGTGTTTACAATCTTTTACGGTGTTCAGACTTCACTGTTAAATTTTGCTTGAATTTGAGAAATAAATAGGTATATATTATATTATATTGTATATATTTATTTTATAATATAAATATTTATAAGAATTCTTACATATGGAGAGACTAGAAGAACAGAAACTTGTTCTGGAATAGCATTTACTATTACTATAACACAAATTTGACTTTCAATAAATGATTTATCTGGGGAAGAAATTCAGGCAACTCCTTCATTCTGTTTCTACAATTGGTGAAGGTAAAATTGTAGTAGCTTTGGGAACATTTATAATAGTAAGTTTGAAACACATTTATTCTTGTTCTTATTTGTTCATCCAACCAGTATTAATTTAGTGCCTGCCAAGAATATGGCTCTGAGGGGATAGGGGGAATGTAAAGTGTTTATATATTCTAGCCCCTGCCAAAGAACTTACAATTTATTTAGGAAAAAAATACACTAATTGCATAGTTAATTAACCATGTTAGTTACGTATATCATTGTGCCAAAAAGGATGACATAGAATATAAGCAATACAATTGTTGAGACAAAGGTAGATATTTATAACTGAATGATTAAGAATAGGTTTCTATAGTAGGCGTGATTTAAGGTAAGAGTTAGTTATAAAGAAGGAAAGGGTCTTCCAGGACCTGCACAAGCAACAGTGTGGGGTTTGGAAATAAAAGGAACATTCTGGATAAAGCACATTTTCTTTTGGTGCTAAATTCATGGATTTTAAAAATATAAGTCTTAGGTGTTTGAACTTTGTTCAGGTCCTAAAGAGTAAGTAAAGTATTTTTAGTAAAGAAATGAAACCATTTCATTTGTATCTGAGGTAGATTGATTTGACTGTATGGTACGTAGGATGACTTGGAGATAGAAGCAATTAAGAAATTGCTATGGTGGCCAGGTACGGTGGCTCACGCCTGTAATCCCAGCACTTTGGGAGGTCAAGGCAGGCAGATCACGGGGTCAGGAGATCGACACCATCCTGGCTAACATGGTGAAAACCCCTCTCTACTCAAAATACAAAAAATTAGCCAGGCGTGGTGGCGCACACCTGTAGTCCCAGCTACTCAGGAGGCTGAGGCAGGAGAATCGTTTGAACCCAGGAGGCGGAGGTTGCAATGAGCCAAGATCGCGACTCTGCACTCCATCCTGGGTGACAGAGCGAGACTCCATCTAAAAAAAAGAAAGAAAAAGAAAAAGAAATTGCTATGGTAACCAAGCACAATGGCTGACACCTGTAATCCCAGCACTTTGGAAGGCCAAGGTGGGAGGATCGCTTGAGGCCAGGAGTTCAAGAACAGCCTGGACAACATAGTGAGATCATGTCTCTACAAAAAATAAAAATAAAATTAGCCAGGCACAGTGGTGCATGGTTGTGGTCCTAGCTACCCAAGAGGCTGACTGAGGAGTACTGCCTGAGCCCAGGAGTACGAGGTTACAGTGGAGCTACGATCATGCCACTGCATTCCAGCTAGGGTGATAGAGTGAGACCCTGTCAAGAAATAAAGAAAGAGAGACAGAGAGAAAGAAAGAAAGAAAGAAAGAGAGAGAGAGAGAGAGAGAGAAAGAAAGAAAGAAGAAAGAAGGAAGGAAGGAAAGAAGAGAAAAGAAGGAAAAGAAAGAAAGAAGGAATTTCTATGGTTAAGATAGGAAATAACCTAAATGAGCATCAGTAGGGGATCGATTAAATAATTATGGTAAATGCACACACAACAATGATTATGCAGAAAAAAGAAAAAAAGAAAATTAGCTCCTTAACTATTGCTATAGAATGATTACCAAGATATAAGTTGAAAAAAGCAAGGTATATGTAGAAAGTATACACATTTTCACTATGATGCTTCAAATATAAAAGTTTATGTTTAAAATATGAATAAATAATATCAATATTTAAAAATATACACTGTCATGTCAATTTATTTATGAAGTAATGAAAACCTGAACTTGACTGGCAGCTGTGGGAGTAAACAGGAAGAGAGTACTGTGAAGATCTCTAAAAGGGAGAAATCGCAGATATTCAGAACTCACATAGGTGCAGAAATGAAAGACAATGAAAAGCACATGTGCCTCCAAACCTGGAAGCCCTAGAGAGCTAGTTAAAGAGGAAGGGTAAATAATGAGTTTACAAATTTTGCTCTTGCTACTCACTCCGGTTCATCCATAGGCCTCCACTCGACATAGTGATAGAGTCTCTGTACATTTTTCAACCACTCCCTGAGTATTTCTGTTGTATTATCCACATTGTGATCAGTGGCTGCCCTGCATGAGAGAAAGCACAATATAGTTTAACTATGTCATCCACAGAAAGAGAGGGAAATCCCAAAGACACCAAACTAACTGAAAGAAGAATGGCTACTCCTGGAAAAAAAAATTGTATATGTGAAAGTAACTCCCTCATAGTCCAAACTAGGCAATAAATTTCTAAAGTGAGAGACACTGCTTAAAATCATCTTTGTGTCATTAGATCCTTAAACAGGGCCCAGCCAATTGAAGAACGTGTAAATAGTTGCATTAATAAATGAGCACATGAAAACACCAAGGATAAAATGAATTAACTGAGGGTCAATTAATGAATCTTCTTGGAAATTTTTCTATATGTTTTAATTTTCAGTTACCCGGGATGTAAACTCCACTTTTTAACTTCACTAACAATGACCCTCAATTTGAGCAATAATTCTGCTTTATCTTCATTTCAAGTCAATTTCTGACCACAACAAAATATCTAGTCAGTGCTGCTTTAATCATCGTGAAGCTACAATAATAATTCTCAATATAAAACTCAAAAATTAAGGTATCTTCCATTATCTATTTTGGATTAACTTTATCATCACATTTACAAAATAGAGCATTTTCAAAAGTCTTTAAATAATGTATACAAAACTTGTGCCTGTTCTATCTTGAAAGTTTAACAAATGAATTCGCTTGTAAAGGGGCTTAACTCATTTATTAAAAAAGTATTTTCAAATTGTATCACAAAGCAAAACCCAACACATGTAAAACAGTTATTCAGAACACCTATAAATGAAGAGATAATGAAATGAAAAACAGAAAAAGAGAAAAAAGCAGGAGTTGTAATCCTGACAACAAACAAGGTAGAATTCAGGACAAAGAGCATTAAGATGACAAAGAAAGAGACTTTATAATACTAAAGGAGGCCATTCACATCAAAATATACCAAGTGTGAATTTCTATGCACTTTCATATATTACAAGAGTTGGCAAACTTTCTTTCAAGAAATAGATGGTAAACATTTTAGGTTTACAGGCTATATACTATCTGCAACTACTACTTAACTCTGCCATTGTAGTGATACATCAGCCATAAACAATATGTAAATGAATGAGCATTACTGTGTTCCAACAAAACTTTATTTATAAAAACAGGCAGCTGGTCTGTAGGCTATAATTTGCTGACCCCTAATATAGTAGAAAGTATAGAAACTGTAAAGAAAAACAGAAATAACAATAAGAGATACTAACATACCACTTTCAGTTAAAGATGGTACAAATGGGGAAAAAGTAAGTATATATAGGATCTATACAACGCACTAATAGAGACTTCTCAAGTGCACATGGAACATCTACTAGTACTGACCAACAATTACATCCCAAAGAAAGCCTCCATAAAATTGAAATTATATAAACAACATTCTCTGATCTAAATGACATATACATAGAAGTTGATAATAAAATAAAACCCCCTAAATCCACTAAAAACTCTCTTACAAAGTCCTTTTTTAAAAAATAAATACAAGACAATTTCAGAACTTCCAAAAATTAATAGTGAAAACACTACATACCAGAATTTTGGGATACAATTAAAGCAGTAATTAGAGAAAAATTCAGTTTTATATGCTTAAATAAATAAAAATAAATGCGTTAAATTTCTACTCAAAAAGCTAGGAGAAAAGCAACAAAGTAAACATATATAAAGAAATTAATAAACATAAGGGTAGAAAGTTGTGAGATATAAAACAGGAAAAGAGTAGAAACAAACTAAAATGCTGCTTCTTTGAGAAAAATCAATAAAAGACAAGCCCTAGTTAATCTACCTAAGACAAATATAAAACAGTAAGAAATGGTAAGGATGGGAAACAATATGATTGATTTGAAAGAAAAATTTTAAAAATGTGTAATCAACTACTTTGTACAACTCGATGATAAATAACTTTGAAAACTAAATATAATAGAAGATTTTCTTAAAAAATGTATGTTAGCAAAATTAACTCCTGAAGAGATATAAAGCTTAAATGAATAACTTCCATGAAGACAGTAAGGAGGAAAAAAAAACCAACTAGGCTCATGTGTTTTTACAAGGGAATTCTACCAAATCCTACAATAGATACTTCCAATGCTCTACAGCTTGTTATCCAGAGTGTAGGGAAAAAAATGAAAATTCTAAGTTCTTCTAATATTGCAAGTATAATATTGATGTCTAAACCTTATGAAGATTTACACACACACACAAAACTATAGGCCAATATCCTTTAATGCATATGCTGCAAAAATCTTAAATAAAGTATTAGCAAACAGAGTCCAACATCTTATTAAGAAAATATAGCATGGTCTAAGAATGTTTAATATGAAGGAATTTCATTGACATAATTCACTATGTTAATGGACCTGGAGAAAAATCATGATTATCTCTGTAAATGTGTAAAAAGTCTTTAACAAAATTCCACACCTATTCCTGGTTTTTAATAACCACACAGAATAAAATTCAAGCAGATACTAAAAAAACAAGCCACTACAATTAAAACTGCGTGGTAATGACACAGGGATAAATGACACAGGGAGCCCAGCGGCACAGAACAGAAAGTATAGAAATTTAGTGTATGATAAGGGTATTATGTAACATTCCCATGTAACAAACACGCACATATACTCCCTGTATCTAAAATGAAATTGGAAATTTAAAAATAAATAAAGTTTCACCAAAAATATATATACATGTAATACAGGTTTGAAAAATGATCAGAGGTACACATGAAATAATTTAGTTTTTATTGCATCATTACTTCCACTGTGGTTTGTAGGATGATTTAAAATAAATTGAAAGAAAATATAAATAAAGGGCGAGTGCAGTGGTTCATGCCCGTAATTGCAGCACTTTGGGAGGCCAAGGTGGGCAGATCATTTGAGGTCAGGAGTTTGAGACCAGCCTGATCTACATGGTGAAACCCATCCCTACTAAAGAAAACCAAAAAATTAGCTGGGTATGGTGGCACGTGCCTATTAGTCCCAGCTACTCAGGAGGCTGAGGCAGGAGAATCGCTTGAACCTGGGAGGTGGAGGTTGCAGTGAGCCGAGTTCGGTCCACTGCACTCCAGCCTGGGTGATAGAGTGAGACTCTGTCTCTATAAATATAATAAATAAATAAAGCATACACATAAAAAACAGTGCTTTTCATTAAAATGAACCATTATAGTTTTTACTTGATTTTAAATTGCCTCTAAATATATTCAAATTTCTTTATCTCCTAAAAAAATAACATTTAAGAGAGGTAATGTTCAGAAATGTTCAAGAGAGAAAAATACATTGTTAAGCAATGCATGGTGGAACTCTATTTAGATAGGGAATACATTTCTGTAAAATACCAAGTAACTTAAAACTATGTAACTTAAGTCATAGGGTATAGAAAAATGGGACATAGAGGTACATAACTAGTATTTGAAAATATTATGTTGTAAAATAGATACTTAAACTAAAACTAGGCTAATTAAAAACATTATCCAATAACTAGAGATGACACCAATGGCCAACTTGATCTACTTTCAAGTGTCTTCTTGAAATTAGATGAGAACCAGCTCCTCTCTTCACGGCAAGGTCTAGGAGGGAGAAAGACCCACAGGTCCACCTGGATATTCGATGGCCTGAAGAGGGAGAGAGGTGATGTGTGAAGCTGACAGTTTTGAGGGATGCGAGGTGAGCACCTTAGGACCAAGATGGGGTAGGAGGAGCCCTTAGCAACTCACAGAGGTGGGAAAGTGGCCCAGAAAGCAACGTGGAAGAAGGCCACAGGCTCCACCGAGTTTGTGATTGTGCCAAAAAGTGCAAAGTCAGCAAAAGTCACGTCCATTTTGACTCATGGTCACAAGCTACCAACATCCAGGGTAACAGGTGGCCATGAAGAGCACAATGAGAGTCCTACCACTGGTCTTGTAACAGGAAGCATGCAGAGAGCAATTCCTGAAACTCGGAATTTACCATAAAGCACCTTATTCTTCACTCAAAACATTATGAAGAGGAGTAAGTTAAAACTAAACAAAACAAAAATTCCTCATCACAGTGTTAGCCAAAAGTTATGAGAATTCTACATTATTCTTAAATTATTTATAAATGGTGTAGGAGAATTTGCCAGGTGCAGTAGCACACACCTTTAGTCCTAGCTACCTGAGAGGCTGAGGTAGGAGGATCACTTGAGCCCAGGAGCTCCAGGCTGCAGTGAGTACAACTGTGCCTGTGAATAGTCACTGCACTCCAGCCTGGGCAACATAGCGAGACCCCATCTCTTAAAGAAATAGTCTAGGTAATTTATACATCATCTACTTCTTTCCCTGGTTGTTGTTTCTTCATTACACAGGACTTCTTAAATTCTCTTTGCCTTCTCTACATCAATGCATTCCCATTTCCTAATCCTTTTGACAGAGTTAGTCTTATTGTACAAAATGCATTTTCCTGGTGTACAGATTAAACAACTCCAAAACCTGCCCAAGCATCCACTCCTGATGAACATCCTTAGAAATTAGCTGCCTTAGAAGTATGCAGAGGTAAAGATGTCTAATTAAAAACAGATGCACAGATTTCAAATATTCTCTTTACTGAGTTAAAAAATTGTCTGTACTCTTACTTCCCTGAATTAAGATTCTCTTTGTTCTCAGGCTTCTGAGGAAATGAACATGTCCTCCAGTTGTGGTTGGAGACAGGTGCATCCATCCTGGTCTTTGAAGTGCAGGGCCAATCTCTCCTACACTCATTCCCAGAGGAGGAAGAGGCCCTGGCCACACCAGCCCACCGAGGAAGCCTCGCAGCCCCACTGAAGACTGAGTTTCCCTGCTCCTCCTCCCCACCGTCAAAAAAAGGCAAAAACGAAGAAATCCAGGCAGACACTCCTAACTGCTGCCTTGTAATCGCTCTGACAAAAGTATGTTTCCATTTGAATGCATAATAATGAAAGCATTACAGGCCCTGGGCTATTCAGAGGGTTGGACAGAGAGAGATACCAAAGGCTCAGATGCAAGCTCTCTGGAGGAAACCCGA